ACGGCCGGCGCTTGCTTCTGATTAGAGGGGGGCGGGCGCTCCTGTTCGAGCCGCCAGGTTCGAAGAGAAATCCTGTTCGAGCCGCGAGGTTCGAAGAGACATTTTGTTTCGAGCCGCCAGGTTCGAAGAGAAGTCCTGTTCGAACCGCCAGGTTCGAAGAGAAGTCCTGCTCGAACCGCCAGGTTCGAACAGCAATGCAATCCTGTTCGATCCGCCATATTCGAACAGTAATCCTGTTCGAACCCCCTGTTTCTAACCGAAATCTTGTTCGAACCGCCAGATTCTAACCGAAATCCTGTTCGAACCGCCAGGTTCGAACAGAATACTGTTCGAGCCGCCAGGTTGGAACAGAGATCCTGTTCGAATCGCCAGGTTCGAACAACATTCCTGTTAGAACCTCCAAGTTCGAACGGGAATCTGGTTCCATTCGCCAGGTTCGAACCGCCAGATTCGAACAGACATCCTTTTCGAACCTGGCGGTCCCAACAGTATTTCTGTTCGAACTTGCGGTTCGAACCGGATTTTTGTATCTGCCGCGCCGAGCGACAATCTCGAGCGAACCTGAGGGAGGAAGTGGAAGGGTTGGGAGAAGGGGCCGGGGGCAGGAGGGCGGAGGGAGGAGTGAGGAGGGAGGCGGGGGACTGCCGGGCGGCAAGGGGGGAGCGGCGGGGAGGGTGAGGGCTCCGGCTCTTCGGGCGGGCCTCCGCCCTGCCTCGCGTGCCGAGGAAGAGGGGAGGGTGTGGGGGGGGGATCTGTCGCTCCATGGTGGCGTACCCTCCCTGCTCGCCCCCACTGCTTCGGCTCCCGCGCTCCCGCTCGCTCCCCCCGGAGTGCGCGTCTTGCCTCGCCCCCCCCCCCCCCCCACTCCTGCTGCTGCCCCTGCCGCTCTGCTTCTCCCCTTCTCGCTCTCCGACTCTCCATCCCTGCCCCTCTCGCCCTTTCAACTTTCACCCTTCCTCTCACCCTCCCTCGCCTTCCCCCCCCCTCTCTCGCGCTCCCTCCCTCCAGCTCTCTGTCTCCGTCCCTCTCCTCAAGGGAGGAAAGCCCACCCAGACCGCATGATTGGCGTTTGCTAAATGGCCCTGGGCGTTTACTAAACACCCCTGCCCTGCTCGATTCCTTCTTTGGATGCGTTTACTGAACGGCCTCGCTTGTTGGAGTGGTTATTCTGGGGGTGGATTGTTTGCCCTCTGTCTCCCTCTCTCTCTCTCTCTTGTGCACCAGCCCTGTGTGCGCAGCTTCCCCCTGTTTCGACTGCGCTCAGCACGATGGGGGGTCCTCTGTGGAGTTCCACGATCGCTGTGGCATTCGTCCGCGGGTGATGCACCGCAGTAACGGCAGAGGCGAGACGGCGGGCCAGGGCGTAGGAGGCCGGCCAGCGGCAGGGGCGAGAGCACGGCCGTGCACACAGTTGCCGCCGAGTGGAGGCCCCTGCCAAGCGACACCCTTGCTCGCCTCCCGGGCGCCCTGGGCCTCCTGGGCTGAGCGATGCTGCTTGCTGCCGCGGGGAGCGCGGCGCTCCCCCGCTCACGACTTCGTGGGCGCCCTGGGGCCTCGGGGTGGGGCTCCTCGGGGAAGGTTTTTCCTGCGGTCGGGCTCCTGCCGTTGTGTTCTCGCGGGGGGCGAGGCCGCCCGGCCCGACCACGTCACGCGTCTCGGGCCGGGCGGAAGGGGGGGATTGGGAAAGGGGGGGTTGCGAAATTTGCTGCATGCAGCTGGTTTCGGCCTCACCGAGGGGCCCATTCCTCGATACATGGCCGCCTCCGGCGCCGGGAGGCGCCGGGAAAATCAGCTGCGTGAGCTGATTCTCAACCCCCCCCTCTGCTATCCCCCCCTTTCGCCCGACCCGAGCGTCGGCATCGAGGCGAGAGCACGCCTCCCGAAGAACAGCTGCCTGGGAGCCCCGGGCGCAGCAACGGCCGGGCGGGCCGCGTCGGGGCGCGGCGGTCTCGGGCTCCCCGTGTCCCTCGTCGGACTCTGCAGCGTTTTTTTTTTTTTTTTTTTTTTTTTTTTTTTTTTTTTTTTTTTTTTTTTTTTTTTTTTTTTTTTTTTTTTTTTTTTTCTCTCCATGTTTTTTGTGGTGTTAAAAATGAAAATGTGTTTCTTCTTCTTTTTTTTAAATAATATATTATTATTATTCGTATTCTTTTGCTACATATATGGTATATTATATATATATACTAATATATATTTATATATATATATATATATGTGTGTGAAAAAACCACCACAAAACAACAACAACTACCTCAGTTTCTAACCTTCCAGCGGAGTGTTCTTGAGGGGAAGGGGTGGGTGGGAGGGGTTAGGATGCCAGAGTCGGCGCGAGCGCGCCTGCCTCGTCCCTTCTCTCCCCGCTCTCTTCCCCACCCCCCTCTCATCCCCCTCCTCTCCCCCCCCCTCTTTCTTCACCCCTCTCGTCCCCCCTTCTCTTCCTTCTCGTCTCCCCTCTCGTCCCCCCTCTCTCCCTTCTCTCCCCCCCCCTCTCCCCGCTGGCCAGCAGCCGAGGTTCTCGGAGGGCATGTCCTCGCTGAAGCCGCCCGTGAGCGCCCGGGACGCCGGAGCCGTCTTCTCGAGGCTGGACCTCGACGGCGACGGGCGGCTCGCGCCAGGAGCGCGTGCGCTTGCCGGCGTTGCTGGCGGCCGGCCGGCCGGGCCTTGACCCCCCCTCGGCGCTCACGCACGACACGCAGCACGTTGTTTTGGAGACTCGATGGTGAGCTCGACGTTTGGGCAATGCAAGTCTGCAGTCGATCCCCCACCCGGCAGCTGGGGTCTCACAGCGCGGCGGTGGCTTCCAAGTCTCGATCGAGCGAACACTGCATCAATTATGGACGGGGAGGGTCTCAGCTTCCTGTTCCAGAAGCCTTTCAAACGGGTCCGGAGTAGACGGGGTCGGAGGACCGCGCCGCTTCGCTGATGCATCGCCGATGTCCTTACTTTCTCCGCGCCGACGTCGGCCGATGCACCCGCCGTCATCAGCGATGCATCGCCGATGCATCGGCGATGGACCGCCCATGCGGTGCGATCCTCTGGCCCCACCCGCTCCGACCCCATTCGGGAGGCCTCCAGCAGCGGGGGTCCAGCTCTAGCGGGGGTCATCCCATCCCCTCCGGCGGACCCCGGCTTGGGAGCCGCGTGTGGCCGATTCCTCCTCCTCCTCCTCCTCCTCCTCTTCCTCCTCCCCCTCCTCCTCCCCCTCTTTCTCCTCCTCATCCATCCCCCTCCTCCTCCTCCTCCTCCTCCTCCTCCTCCTCCTCCAGCTGACCCGGGTGTCCCCTCTCCGCCCTCTGTTGACCTGGGTTTGTGGGAGAGGTACTCAGCGGCTGGTCGCGCGACCCGCCCGCGACCCCGTCGCGACCCCACCCACGACCCACCCGCGACTCCCGCGACCCACCCACAGTGGTTCGACAAGACTAGGGGAACGAACAAGGACGTAAACATGAAAACTCGGAGGCCCGCGCGGATTTCTCGGATCAGCGCTGGCGCCCCCTGGCGGCGCCTCCAGCGCCGCCCCTGGCGCGCTCCGCGCGCCAGGGAGGGGGGTCGAGCGCCCGTCCGAGAAATCCTCGCGGACCTCCGAGTTTTTACGTTTCTGTCATTGTTCGTTCCCTTCAAGACATTGGCGCCTGAGGCGGACTCGATTCGTAACGTGTCAGAACGTATTCGCCTGCGGCAGGCTTTCCCGAGATCGGATAGCTGAGCCTCGACGACTCTCCCTCCGACCCCGCCCCCTCGCTCGTATCCGAAGCCGTTGGTGCTATGATAACAGCCTTTCCCATCCAATGCCGGCAGGAGTCCAGGCGTCCACGCTCGACCAATGTCTCGTCAGGGGCCCAGCCTGGAGAGATGTCGGTCAGCATGCCGCACCGTCTCGCGCCTGCTCGCGCCCGTTTCACAGGTGCTTTTCCAGCTGGCCCGACCGCCCTCCGGGGGCCCGGGCGCGGGTGACCCCTGCATCGCTGCATCGCTGCATCCGCATGCTGGGAAGAGAGCTAAGGATGGCACCAGCCTCGGAGGGATGCCCTCGAGTGCTCTGTGGTGGACCCCTCCACTGGTGACCGACCTCCGTTCGTGTGGGGGCGGGGGGCGGGGGTACAGTCCATTCACGTGGTGCGGAGGAGCGGCTCCATTCGCATCCTCGCCCTGCCGGCCCACCCCCTGCGGTCTTCGCTGGCCAGCCCCGCTCGAGAACGCCAGCGCGGCCCTCTAAAGGCCCCTGCATCCTTCGCGCGCACCCTTCCTATGCAACTCAGCCGTACCTCCGCGGGCCCCCCCGTTCCTCGCTGCGCGGGCGCCTCCCGCCGCCAGGAGGCGCCGTGGGAGCCAGATCTGTGAGCTTATTATCTGCCCTTTCCTTTGCTATCCTGCCTCCTCCTCCTCCTTCCTCCTCCTCCTCCTCTTCCTCCCTCCTCCGTCCTCCTCCTCCTCCTCCTCGCCCTCCTCCTCCTACCTCCTCCTCCTCCTCCTCCTCCTCCACCTCCTCCTCCTCGTTTTCCTCGCCCTCCCTTTCGTCCGCCCCGACCTGGTCCCTCGGCGAAGGGGCGCACGCTTTCGGAGCCTCGAGGCGGGGATCCATGCGAGCGGGGGCCAGCGAGAGCGCAGGGTCTTGCAGGATCCTGCTATGCCAGGGTTGCCTTGACCTGGGCTTGCGCGCAGGATCCTGCAGGAGCCTGCATGATCTTACCGGATCCTGCAAAGCTCGGCAGACTCAGGTTGGCATTGATAGGGGTCGGTAGATACCCGAACGTTTTGGAGGCCGCGTGAAAGGGCGGCGATAAATGGGGGGGCGGCGAGGGCTGCCGAAAAGGCGCCCTTTAGCGCCCCGAAAGGCCTTTAGAGCCCATGTGCCCGAAGAGGGTGCCCGTCACCTCCCCCCTATGCATCGCCCTCCATGAATTCGCGCCCAGGTTGGTCGATCCCCGAACGCTCTTGATCCAATCGCATTGACCCGGACAGTAGATCCCCGACAAAAGCTGAGGAGGGAGGCATGAGAAAAG